CAGAGATGTTCCTGGCTTTAAATAACAGGGATTTAAACATGTGGGGCTTGAACAGGCCCGCAACAGTGGGTTGGTCCGGGGTGAGACCCTCATCCTCGGACATGTCCCCCTCCATGGGATCTACCTCCGATAGGGGCTCCTCTTGTTGCATAGACCCCCATTCCATTTCCTCTTCCCCCCCCAAATTGGTCTAGATACTCTATATCCTCTTCCGGGTCCCTTTCTGGGAGAGGACTGCCCCCTTGAGAAGGTACCTGACCACGAGTAGGGTCCGATCTAGGCGAGGACCTCACTGATGGTGGGTCGTGTTCGGGCGCCAGTGAGGGGGGAGTAGACCTGGACATCTGTTGAAGGCCCTCTGCTATCCCCTGGCGAATGGCCCATTCCATCAATGCCTGTATGTGCGCAGGGATCTCAGATGTGGGGGCCTCCTCCTGGCAAAGACCAGCGGCCGTGGGCGTGAATGTAGCTTCAGGAGGCCGTCTGGTTGATGGGCCGGGAACCTGGTGTCCCTGGGAAGGGCTGCGCCTGGAGACGGAAAAACAATCTGGAGGAGGGGGGGGGTCTGGAGGTAGAAGGAGCGGAGGGTGCTTGAAGTACCGGTTGTACCTCTCTGGACCGCCTGTCAAATTCCCTCTCGAGAGCCCTATGACGTCGTAGGGCGTCTCTCTGAGAAGCCTTAGAAGTCTCTTTAGGTGTTTCCTTAGGAGTTTCCTTAGCCTGTTTGCGCAGGTGGTAGGATTTGGATTTGGCCTTCAAAGAAGGGCCTTTGGTGGGAATGTCATCTGCCATTGTACAAGAAAGGACAGTAATACAGTTAAAGGCGGTTGGCTCGCCAAGGGTTCGACCTACAACAAAGGTCGGGTGTCCTTTCAGCTGGCCCGCACCCCCTTTTGGAATTTAGATGTATAAATTCTGTAATATAGATGTTGAAATAATTCTTAATACTTATCTGCACAAGCAGGATAACAATCCAATGAGACTTGGAATGCTAAGGTTCAATATCAATAAGAGAAAAATTACAGGAATAAACTCACCAAGGTTTATCTATATGTGAGTATAAATATAAACATATATGTGAGGAAATATCTAGACCTGCATACAGGCAGATATTCCAATGTCTATTAGTATTAGAACTATTGTTAATATTCTTGTTCTAATATTATTATGATTATTATTATTATTATATTATTATTAATATTATTATTATTATAATTATTATTATTGTAATTATTAATATTATTATTATTACTCTAGTAATGAAAAATTGCCAATTTTCCGAATTAAACGCCTGAGGCTGGTAAGAGGCCTCTGGCAGCTGGAGCTCCCAGGCAACAACTGGGAGGGATAGGCTGCTATCACTTGCCCTGAGCCTGCTGCGGGAAGCCAACAATTACTAAAGTGTACCAATTACCAAAGGCCCTACAGGCTGAGAGGCCTGTGCTAGGGCCGGTTACTTCGCAGCGCTATGAGGCCTCAATCAAGATGGCGCCCGCCACGTGGAGGCGCCCTAGAGGCGATCGCCCACGTTCCTAAAGTCCCGGGCTGCTCAGGGCAACGAAGGTTACTTCTCCGGCCCTAAAAGAGGCCAAGGAAGCCAGGCAGTAAGTTTTCGCCCCTTCTTAGGGCGAGCGGCGTTTGCGGTGGGGGGGAATACCAGCAGCGCTATATCAGCGCGATCAGTAAAGCCGCTGCGAGCGCGGCGAGAGAAACGGCAGGCAAGAGATCGAATTGGGGGGGGGTTAGCGCCGAAGCGCGAAAGCCGCCCGTTCTACAACCCCCCTGGGGGCGAAAGAAACGCGCTCCCCTTAAATCCCCAGTCCTGCGCCAGAAGGCTAAGGAAAATAAATTGTTTTTCTTGTAATATGTTCAAACCTGAGAGCAAGTCTTGGATCGGCCAAGGAGTGAGAAATGCACAGCCTAACTTGACGACGGCTGAGCGCAAACTGGGGAACGCAAGAGAGCCACGTGATGGAGGGCGGAGCGTTCCTCAGTGATTGAGCTCAGCCATCAACGATGTAGACTGAAGCACCTCCCACTCTCTGGATGATCCGAACGGCTCTCAGGAGAATTATTTGTTTAGCATTCGGGGGAAATGTCCTTGTGTCTAGTTGTTCTGATGTGCAGTGCTCTATAGCATTGTTTTGAGGGTAGGAGTTGAAACAGTTTATGTCCGGGATATGAGGGGTCTGAAAATATTTTCACAGCCCTCTTTTTGACTTGTGCAGTATACCTGATTGAAGGCAGATTGGTAGTAATTGCTTTTTCTGCAGTCCTAATTATCTTCTGAAGTCTGTGTCTATCTTGTTGGGTTGCAGAACCAAACCAGACAGTTCTAGAGGTGCAGATGACAGACTCAATAATTCCTCTGTAGAACTGTATCAGCAGCTCCTTGGGCAGTTTGAGCTTTCTGAGTTGGCGCAGAAAGAACATTTTTTTGTTGTGCTTTTTTGATGACGTTTTTGATGTTAGGTGTCCATTTTAGGTCATGTGATATAATAGAACCTAGAAATGTGAAGGTCTCAACTGTTGATACTGTTGTCTAGTATTGTAAGAGGTGGTAGTATGGGAGGGTTTCTTCTAAAGTCTACTACCATTTCTACAGTTCTGAGTGTGTTCAGTTCCAGATTGTTCCGGTTACACCATGAGGCAAGTTGTACAACCTCCTGTCTGTATGTGGATTCGTTGTTGTCTCGAATGAGACCGCTGTTGTGTCATCTGCAAACTTCAATATTTTAACAGATGGATCGTTTGAGATGCAGCCATTGGTATATAGGGAAAAGAGAAGTGGAGAAAGTACACAGCCTTGGGGGACCCCTGTGCTAATTGTACAGGTATCAGATGTGATTCTGCCTAGTTTCACCTGCTGCTTCCTGGCTGTTAGGAAGCTTATGATCCACTTAGAAGTATGTTCAGGTACCGCTAGCTGCCTTAGTTTAGTTAGAAGAATGTCTGGAATGATGGTATTGAATGCTGAACTGAAGTCTACAAAGAGGACCCTTGTGTAGGTATTTGGAGATTCAAGGTGTTGTAGGATGTAGTGCGGAGCCATATTACCAGTATCATCTGTCAATCTATTTGATCTGATTATGGTGTATCAATGAATGCAACTATTAAAAATATTAACTTCACTTCAGCCCTGAGGTACATTAATTCATATAAATTGTTCATACCCACCTTTTTTATTTGGAACAATATTGTAACTTATATAGGTAGATGTATAGATGAATCTTTTCACATTAAGATGTTAATGGTATTTTGCATTACGTTTTATAAAACTATAGAATTTGATTGTTTTTAAGTAAATTGTTTATAATGGGGAAAGCTAAGAAATTAACAGGTATTGACTGACTGGAAAGGTACTACTTCTCTAAGTGTCAAGGAAAATATTACTATTCCAGGTTTCAAAACCAAGTTTCAAAAATGTGTAATTTTCAAGTGTAATTTGAAAATGTTACTTTTCTACAAATCAAAAAGTGTTACAATGTTTCCCTTTGACATAGATTTTATTGTATTTTCTAAGAATAAATACCTTAATGTATAATCTAGGCAATCTATAAGAATATAACGTTAATTTTTAAAATTTCTAATTTATGATTATTTTTTGTTTTTTTGTTTGATATTATAACTTAACAATTACATTATTTGTTGGATGCATGGATGCTATTTTTAAAAAAACTTATTTTCATCCATTATTTTCTACATATTTTATTTTTTAAATTGCATTTTGTAAACAAAGATTCAATTAGATTTTATCTATTATCACTAACAGAAATTCCTTTTTTGTTTCTTCAACCTGATGGTTTCCATACGTCCTCAAAACAGATAAATCAATGAAAATGGGGGCCCTGATCATAAAACAGCTTTAGAGTGCATTTACAGCTTACCCTACTTAGTCTAGCTACCAAATTCCAAGAGCAGTTGTCTTAATTTAAACATATCTATATAATTAATACTAAGAAATAAAAGGTGCAGCAGACATTTAGAGTTATCAGAGAAGTTAATAACTCTGTGATTCAGAGTCCCATCCAAATAAGATATGCCATAGACTGTGACTAGAGAAACCCAGGGGTGGGATCCGACTGGTGTAACTACCATTCGATGATCTATGATTTGCGTATACATGCGCGCATATGAATCATCGTCAGCTTGCTGCCTGGACATCTGAGCAGTGCTGCACACGGGTTCGTAGTGGTTGAAAAAGCACTTTTCCCCCGCTTTTTCAACTGCAGCTGTGCCACGCAAAGCAGCTAAGGTTGAAAAAGCAGGAAATAAAGGTCAGGTAAGAACCCGGGCAGACGGTTGGGCCAAAACAGCAGCAGACATAGAACCGGTTCTGTCTGCTGCTCTTCAAGGCTACCGGTTCTACAGAGCCGGACAGAACCGGTAGAATCCCATCCCTGGAGAAACCTTAACAGAAGCTCCTTTGAAAAAACATATATTATTTCCTGGGATGTCTCCAGGTTTTCCTGGATCACACAAAATGATCCTGGATCATTTTCCTCTTATACATAACTATTTTTTTCCTAGATTTTACCTGACAGTATGTCAATAAGCGTAAATATTTGGGTGGAAGATTAGAAAACTGTTCTTGTACAAACATGAACCAAATAGATCCTGAACTTCCAACTGCTTAGCAACAAACTAACCCAACAATTAAACCATGCAGACCAGAAACTGTACAAAAGTCAGTTTGCTTTTGTGATATTCAAACCCACTTGCAAAATGCATAGAAACATGAAAAAGTTACCTAAGAGAATTCCACTTCCTGCCAATCTTCCTGCGAGCAAGAGATGTTTGACTTGCTTTTGATAGAAGAATTCTACCTCTTGTGTAGCAGAAATTTAATAAAACAGCTAAATTCCCAATCTTGGCTTTAAACATTTTCAGACACCAGGAACATGTACGAAAAATGACATGTGGACATCATTTACTAGCACAGAATTTCCACTTTAAATAGCATCTAAGATAAGAAAATTCTGTTTAAGATAGTTACTTACTACATGCTCCGCAGGTGAAGCATCCATCATGGTAGAGATTCCCCATTGCCTGGCAGGCCTGGTTTGCTCCATAAACACCTTTGCTGCATTTCACACAAGTTCCTGAGGAGGAGGAGGAGGAAGAGGAAGAGGAAGAGGAAGAGGAAGAGGAGGAGGAGGAGGAGGAGGAGGAGGAGGAGGAGGAGGAGGAGGA